GGCCCGAGCGGGTTCTGCGCCCGAGCGGCCTCGGGCCCCCGTGCCATGTGGGCCAAAACTGTTCCTGCGGGCCACGCGCGGAAGGGGCACGGAGCATGGCATGAGCAGAATAGAACTCGGAGAAGCGGGGGTGCTCCTGAGAAGCAGAGGTGCCTCTAAGAAGTCCTCCCCCCTCCCCCTACCCCCGAGGCGCCGCCAGGGTGGTCCAGCGCGGATCCGAGAAGTCCGAGCGGACCTCAGAGTTTTTATGCTCATGTCATTCTTCTTTCCCCGAAGGGTGGCCAAACTGCCCTCGGCCACGCGCAGAGGGGGGTAGGGGGAGGGGGGAAGACTTCCTAGAAACACCCCTGCTTCTCAGAAGGCGCGGGCCTGCCCTGTATATGTGCGGCTGTCGCCTTCTGAGAAGCGGTCTGCTTCTGAGAAATCTTCGCCGCGGCCCGCAGGCCTTTGCATCAGGCCCTGGCCTCCCAGCTGCCTCGCCGCAGTCTTGAGCACCCCCGCGCCCCGCGGCCGCGCGGCGCTCTCGTGGCCTCACTGCCTCGCGGGCCCGCTCACTCGTGGCCTCACTGCCTCGGGACGCTGCCCACTACCATACACTCTCGGAAGGCCCATGGGGCCCCACCGAGGGAGCCCCCAAGACCGGCCAGGATCGCCCCAAAACGGCCCCAGGGACGCCGAAGACAGCTCAAGAGGGCCCCCCAAACGAATCCTTGCAAGGAAATCGACCTGATGTTGCGGGCCCTCCGCCGCAAAAAATGATTCGGGGATGGACAGACCCCCCTTTAGTAAAACGTGGTTTAGTGAAGACGACCTGAGGCCCAACCCTGGCGGGCGCAAGCCTGGAAAATAACGGCAACGGCGCCATCTCGAGAACCGAAAACGGACAATTCACTAATCGACGTGTCACTGTTGGGGGTTCTGTCCACCCCCGAATGATGCCCCCGAAGCTGGCAGGCCCCGAGGAAACCAAGCAGAGACCCCAAGAGGCTCCCCCGAGAAGCCCGAGCACCCCGAGGGGTCGGCCGTGCGGCGCCGGCCTGCGCATCTCGGAGGTCCGTGCGCAAGGGGCGCCTAACTGCGCGCTCCGCGCGTCGCGAACAACTTCGCGCTCTCGAGGCCACCCTCCAAGGGAGAAGAGGAGGATGAGGAGGATGAGGGGCCGAACCGCGAAGCGCGAGTGACTTCGCGCCCTCGGGGGCGGCTTTGATATACTTAAGGGGTCGCCTGGCGCAGGTCCAAGACATCTGCGCGGGTTTTCGAGAGTTGATGTTTACGTGCGCGCGGGCGTAACTGCCCGACGTCGGCATCGAGCGGAAGGTGTGAGGCCCCTCTGGGCCTCCAGATCTTGCCAACATCGGTGTCTTCTCTCGAATCGCCGACACCGACAACATTTCAACTTGAACGAAAATTGAGCATCGTTTAACCGACCCCCATCCCCACCAGCGTGGGCTGGGTCCCACTCTGGCCGACTTACCCCCCTGGATGGGAGTATAGGGATCGCCCAACTGAGGTGGTGAGATGGTGGGGCTCGAGATGTGCATGGGGATGGGGATGGGGATCGGTCGAGCGATGCTGAGAACTGGCATAACATGTCGGCAAACTTTGCGGGGCAGAACCTCCCACGCACTGAGCTGGCCGCTCCACTGCCCTCGGGCGCCCGCTCCCGGGTCAGAGCTCGAGCCTCGGCCGGCTGCTCTGGACGACCCGGGCACACCCGGACGCCTCTCGGCCCTCGGCGAGGCGCAGCTGCTGGAATCGGCGGCGAGCGAGGGGGGGAAACGAGAGAAGGGGCGGGCCTCCTCAGGAGGCCCGGACGTTCCGCACCCCGGCCTCCTGCGAGGAGACACCCGGGCGCTTCTCGGCCCTCGGCGAAGCGCAGCTGCAGCTGGAATCGGCGGCGAGCGCCCGGCCTCCTGCGAGGAGTCTTCTGGGCCTCCCCTGAGGGCACAGAACGCTCCTCTGAAGGCGTGAGGACTTCTGAAAAGTCCCGCCGCCTTCTGAGCAGGCCTCCTCCTTCTCGCTCCCTCCCCTCGCTCGCCGCCGACAGGACCGATGCGCGCGCCCCCCGTTCGGCAGGGAGACAGCGCACCTGAAGGGGCCCTGGGACACACAAGCAAATAGCCACAAATACCAGGATTCACCACAAGTTCCCATACTTCCTGGGTTGTTTTAGTCTCCCCCCAAACTTCCCCATCTTTTCTGGGGAATCGACGATTCATTGCGTCTGTGTGTGCTTTCTTCCCCCACCAACCACAGCATTTTGCTTTTTCCGGTACTTCGCCACCGGGTTCCTGTCCAAGGCGTTCCTTTGCAAGCACATCGTCTTCGGCACCGCCTGCTCCCGTGGCTTTGCCTCCTCCTGGCCTCGCCGTGCAGCTGCGCTCCTTCCCTTCCCCCCCCCTATGTTAATTCAAGCTTCGCGCGGCCCGCTTAGCTTCGACCGGAAGATGCGCTCTCGACCCGCGAATCAAACAAAAATGTGGTTTTCTCCTCGGCTACACGTGAGAGTGACCCTGGGTAAGAGGGACCTTGGGTGCGCGCGACTTTGTGGGGGCCGCGGAGAGACCAAACCTGGGCGCGCAAGCCGCTGCTGCTGCTTCGTCGTCAGCCATCTGAGGGTCCCCCTGTGCCCGCACCAAAGGTCACTCCAGCGAAAGGTCACTCTTAAGTCGAGCCGATTCTCCCTCCTGAGCATCCACGGCACGCCGTCGCCCGGAGCCCGCCCGAAAGAGCAGGCCCCGCCGCCCCCGCCCGAGGCCCCTGGCGTCTCGCCAACCGCAGCACCCCGACGGGCTCCCCAAGGCGGCGGCGCTGGTGCTGCTCGGCGGCGAGCCCGGGGGGGGGAAAGAGGAGGAGGAGGAGGAGGAGGAAGAGGAGGAGGAGGAGGAGGAGGAGGAGGAGGGGAAAGAGGAGGAGGAGGAGGAGGAGGAGGAGGAGGAGGAGGAGGAGGGGGGAGGAGGAGGAGGAGGAGAGGAGGAGGAGGAGGAGGAGGCGGAGGAGGAGGAGGAGGAGGAGGCGCAGGCCTGCTCAGAAGGCTCGGAGGTCCCCTCGGCCGTCTGAGGAATCCTCCATGGGCGTTCCCCGAAGACGCAAAAGACTTCTCCGGCGGCTCTCCGACTCCCGGCCTCGGTGGCTCTCCGGATCCCGGCCTGGGCAGGAAGGTACGCACACACCGATCCTTGGCTCAGCATCGGCCTGGACGGGATCTGTGCACCCTGAGATCCGGCGTCGTTCATTTCTGATCGTGCTCATTTCTGATTGCGCTCGTTTCTAATTGTTCCTGGCCCCCTGGTGGCCAGGAAGAGGCCCAGGATAGAACAATTAGAAATGAAAGGCTCTTGGCCCCAAAAATCAAAAGGATGTTTCGAAGAATTAGATATAAACAATGTGTATACACACCGATCCCTGGATCAGCATCGGCCTGGGCAGGATCCGTGCACCCTGGGATGCGGCGTCGCAGAAACATGCGGCATCGCAAACAATCACGACCGAACCCCGATGTTATGAGGAGAATCCCGGAGGCCTCGCGCGGCAACCTGAGACCCGACTTACGTCGGATCCACGTCGGCTCGACGCCGGGTTCACGTCGGACTCCGTCGGAATCACGTCGGATTTGCGTCGGACTGACGCCAGAGCATCGCCGCGCGAGCGTCGACCCATATATATATATATATATATATATATATATATGTGTGTGTATATATATAGCTTATGGCGCTGCCGTGTGGCCCAACTATGACGCGCCGCGTGAGGCCTCCAGGATTTTCCTCACAATCGATGCGCTCTTGCCGCCGAATGGGCACCCCTCTCGGGGGCGCGCAAACTAAAGGAGCCCAGGGACACACAAATAAATACACACAAATAACAGGATCCTCCATAACTTCCCAGATTTTCTTGGGTTTTGCCTTCCCCCCACTTCCCATATTTTCCCATATTTTCCTGGAAGTCGACGATTAATTGTGTCTGTGTGTTTCTTTCCCTCCTGACAAACATGGATTAGCGATCCATGGATCTGGCGCGCGGTCGCCAACTCCACGGATCGGGGGAGGTGCCATCACCAACATGCTGCCGGCGCCGCCTCGCTCGGGGGCGGACATCAGCGACTTCCCGTGGAAAGGGGACCCGTCGCTAATCCACGCCCCCTTGATCCATGTTTGCGATCGCCTGATAGGGGCAGGATAGTCCAGAATCAAATCTCCGATCGGCGATCGACACGAATCATATCGGCGGAATTCGGCAGCCGAGTCGGAAAGAGTCGAACCGACGGACATCGGCAGACTATTAGGCCTCCAATGAGAAATCGGAACCCAGAGCGGAATCCCGAGTCGGATCGAATCGGACTCGGAAGCAATCGAAATCGAATCGAATCGAATCGGGGCAATCGAAACGAGCCCTGAAGGGCGAGAACACTTCTCAGAAGGCCTCGGGGACTGCCGAGATTTCTGAGAAGGCCCGCCCCTTCTCTGCACGGTGTCCCCAGGGGCCGTAGGCGACCCGAGGAGGAGGAGGAGGAGGAGGAGGAGGAGGAGGAGGAGGAGGAGGAGGAGGAGAAGGAGGGAGGAGGAGGAGAAGGAGAGAGGAGGAGGACGGGTCGCCTAAGCCCTTCGGAGAAACCCTCCACCCTTCTCACCTCCCCCCGGTCTCGCCGCCGACGGATGGCCTCCGGCCGCTCCCCGCCCCCCCCCTTCCGAGTCCTTCCAATCTCTGCGAGGACCAGCGACAGGAAGGGAGGGCACCACTTGACTACCTACCAGACCACCCCAACCCAACCCGAAGACCCGAATTTCGGGTTGGGGGGGGGACGGGCTCCATGTGTGTTTTTCCAAACCATCCTGTGGTGTTGGGTCCTCGTTTTGAAGGGACGGTGCCCCGCGTTCCTCTCCTCTCCTCTCCTCCTCTCCTCTCCTCCTCTCCTCCTCTCCTCTTCACCCACCCAGTACACCATTTCGTGGCCCCATAGGGAGCTCCGCCGAAGGCCCCAGTGCCCGCGCCCGCATGCG